TCTACATTTACAGCTTTCACAAAAGAAAATTGTATTATCATTAAAAATGACATATTCATTTTTTACGTTGTTAAGTAAAAAGAGTTTTAATTCCGTTCTTTCTTTTTCATTCATTCATTGCTACTAGTAATGTTAACGAAACTGGAGGAGAAGCAGCAAGAGTGTAGCTTCCTTTATTGGTCCGACCTTGAGAGCAGACAGTTTGGTGAGATCACCATTGAACTAATAAAGAAGAAAGAAGAGATTGACTATCTACACAGACAATTTAAAATAGCACACTTAGAGGTGAGATATTCAACCAGCCATTGCTAATGGCCTAATAACCTTACAGTTATTTGCATTTAATGTAATAATTTATAAATGATTTAGTATAATTAAAAGTCTATTTGCAATGTTCCATACTTACAGCTGGTTGAATATTTTTAAACTCTTTCTTTTATGGCTTTACTCATACATGTGCATGTACATGTATATCATGGCATTGTGCAATGTACTGTATAATAAAGTAATATTGAAATAATAATTAATAATTAACTATTATATGATAGTATAATATTGTATAATAACTAATAAAGCTTATGTATAATAAAATTTGCTATATGTACTTCATTTTAAATGCTTCATTTCCATAACAAATAATATATTAATTACTTAATTTTTTTATTATTTTTATTTTTTATTATTTTTATGTTATAGCAACCCGAAGCTAGCTACACACTCCACCACTTCCAGTTCTTGGGTTGGCCTGAAAGAGGAGTCCCAGTGTCTGCCCTCCCTCTCCTTCAAATGATACAAAATGTTCAAGAGCTTTACATCACATTAAGAACCACTGAACCAATAACAGTAATGTGCAGGTAATGTACATGTACATGTAGAATATGACTACATACATATGTACATGTACATTTACATGTACAATATAATGATGTACATGTTTACTGTATGCATGTAGCTGGAAAGCATTTGTGAATGATTTTGTCTTACATTTTCGATGCAATTTAGATACATGTACATGTACATGTATTTTGAGGTTGTGTCCTACATGTACATGGTAAGTTTCCAGCTTTATCTTATGCCATTTGTAGTTACTGTACATATACTTACTACATCATCATTATCAATAATTCATTATTCTTATTATTATCATTAATCATTATTGTCGTTATTATTATTATTATTATTATTATTATTATTATACTTATTGTCTCATCCTGTAGTTCTGGTGTTGGTAGGACTGGTGTGTTTATAGCGTTGGGTATTGTACTGGAGAGATACTCAGTTGAAGGAATGATTGACCTCTTTCAAACTGTAAAGACACTCAGAATACAAAGATCAGCCATGGTCCAGACCAGAGTAAGAAAAGAGAGAGAGAGAGAGGGAGAGAGGAGGAGGAGAAGGGAAATTAACACTGTAATAGCAAGTTTGAGCTAATTCCAATCAAATTTGGATTTTTAACGAGTTTTTTAAGTTGCTTAAAAATTGGGCCAAGTCTCTGTACTCCAAATGCCATGTACTGTATTGTAGTGCTTGTCAGCTCATGAAGCTCATGCTGTTTAGCCCACTTAGCATGCTTTGAGGGAAACCCCGAGTATGATATTGAAACTTTCTTGTTATACATATGTTTACAGACACTTACTGTTGTAACATGCATCTCCAAAGAAAGATTTCCTTATCACTGCCCTATTTTAATCTCTCTCTTGCCCCTTGTATATCAATCACTCCAGGAGCAGTATCATTTCTGCTATGAAGCTATATTAGACTACCTACTCAACACTGGACAGTTACCTCGCATTCGCTCTGTCTCCGTTGACCGTCGCTCATCCGTGTATCGTACCACTGCCACGCCTGCTAGCTCACCACCGTCCCAGGGTAGTGCTGGTCTGACCAGTAGTACTGTTGAAATGGCGAGTGCATTTAAAAATACGTCAAATGATGACAATGGATCATTGCTATCTCCTGTTAACAAAGCGAGTGCTCTTTAGCTATTATTATCATAACATTATTATTATTTTATTATTATTTTTGTTATTTTATTTTTTTGTTATTCTCATAGCAACTTTTTCCCTTTTTCAATGTCATTGTTTTTTCCACACTTATTTTTTGCTTTTTTCTTTTCTTTTCATGTTTTACTATTCACATGCAGTTGCATTTAAGATTTGTGTCAGTTCTTAAAAATAAAATTAATATTGTTAATCAATTATTAGTATGAATCTCCATAAACTAATTATAATAATTCATGAACTTTTACAAAGTAGCTATTGGTATTGCTCCAACAACGGGACTGCAGGGACATCAGTGGGCACTGGTTTGAATTTGGTCAGGACTACTGTTTAAACTGACTTGTTTATGGTCAGGGAATGGAGGGTACACTCCAGTGACCTTTAGTTATACCATCCATGGTTGCCTACTATAGATAATTAATACTACGTAACGTAGTATTCATTATCTCTGGTTATACAGTATTCATCACTGTTGTAAGCTTCAAAAACGAACAACACCCTACCCAATCATAGATACTACATAGTATCTATGACCCAATAACGACGCAGCTGAATCCTATATTTCAGTAAATAAACTATTAACCGCTAGAATACCAACACAGACACTATAAGATGACAGACAAGAGTGCTATTACTGCTTTGTTATGTTTAGCGACATCAGGGAAAGTCAGTATTTAACTGTTATAATGACATTTATTTTTGATTGTCATGATTATAGGGTACTATACAACCGAGAATGATAACGATGAATTGAGTTCTGAAAGAGTGAAGGTGTTGATGAAACTTTGTAAATATAGATGGCAAAAAGCATCTGTTGAACCTAAATTATGACTAAAATTATTATTATAGGCATATAAAATAATATATTATGTTTGATGTAATAAACAATAGTCTCTAGAGCTTTTGTTTTATCCCCTTTTAACTTCATCACAAAATAAATGTGTGATTTGATCTCTTTGGTGGTAGAAGTATTCATCTGGAGCTCATCTAACTGAGAACTTGGCTAAAATCAAGTGAAACTCCTCACTATCAGTCCTCATTGCTAATGGCCATGCTTATTCACGTGTGTAGATTATTCATTATTATGCTCTATGAGTCACATCCGGCGTCAAGAGCATGCATAATACATATGCCACATCAAAATCACTTCCTGTTTCTTATCCATGTGTGTATGTAGTATCTGTATAAGTATATGATCCATAACGACGCGGTCATACCCTCCGGCTCCGGCTCCATGAACTCCCAACACGGAGCTCAACTTCAGCCATTACTATTGCCTGATTTAAAGGAGACTGGTAAAGAGTTAGGTCGTGGAGCTTATGGTGTTGTTACTGAAGTAATAGTTAGTGGAACAACCTGTGCTGCTAAGAAGCTTCATGATACTATTGTGCAGGTATTATTACTGATTTTAGCGTTAGATACTCTACCACTGCAATCTCATACTTTTTAGGATCATAATTTAAAGAAATTTAGTGATGAAGTGCTTCTTCACAGTCAGCAAAGGCATCCTAACATTGTCCAGTTAATTGGTGTCTATTATCCTCCTCGTTCACAATTACCAATGTTAGTAATGGAGTATCTTCCTTTATCACTCACACAATGTCTGGAGAGAGAAGAGCTACCACTTCAAATGAAGTATTCTATTCTTCTTGATGTTGCTAAGGGTTTGTGTTATCTTCATGGTAAACGTCCTCCTATTGTACATCGTGACCTCACTGCTAATAACGTGTTACTGACCTCTTCATACTCAGCTAAGATATCAGATCTAGGAGTATCAAGATTAGCCGATACCTTTAAAAAGGATCACCTCACTACAGCACCTGGTAATGCTATGGTAATGCCACCAGAAGCTCTTGAAGATAATCCGGTATATGATCACAAGTTAGATGTATTCTCTTATGGTTGTCTCATTCTTCATGTACTTACTGGTCAATTGCCTAAACCAACTGACCAGTCTGTACAAGAACCAGATAGGGTGAAGTGTTTAAAAAAAGAACCGGAGTGGAATAAAAGATCAAGCTACACCAAAAAAATTCCGAAAGAGAATGAGCTCCTTCCTTTTGCTAAGCAATGTCTTCATGATGATCCTACTGGTAGACCAGAAATGATTGAATTTCTTCAGTTTATTCAGCAAATTATCTCTAAATTTCCAAAAATGAAAAACAGGTCAGTATTAGAAAAAGAACTAAATGATGCAATTCAAGAAAAAGAGGAAGCTGAAAAAAAGCTAGACGAAGAAAAAAAAGTAGCAGAGAGAATTATTCGAGAATTAAGAGAAGAAAATGCTGCTAATAAAAGAGAAAATGAAGATTTAAAGAATGAAAAGGAACAAATGACAACAGATTTAAAAACTTTATCATCACGAGTCACAGGTCTACAAAATGTTCTTTCATTGAAGGAAAAGAAATTCAATGATTCCACTCAAGTGCTAAAGGAAACCATCAGAAGCAGAGATGAACAACTAGTTGCGCAACAACAAGACAACATGGAGC